AAAAAAAAAAAAAAAAAAAATCAATGAAATATTATTCTGCAAACACCACGCAGCCAAAAATGCCAGCCCATATTCTGATCTATTCTTTAAAGGAGTAAAGGTGTATATATATCTCTCAATTATTCTTTGAAAAATACTAGGAGTAAAGGGGTGTGTATATATCTATCTATCTATCTATCTATCTCAATTATTCTTTGAAAAATCCTATCTGTTCCACAATCAATCTTCTGAAGTCACTTGGTAGAATCCAGGCTGGCTTTATGTAACTGGCTAACTGTGGGGTGTCAGGGGGAGATTTGCCACCAACTTCAGCGTCAAGTAATGACAAACTGACTAAAAGAAAACAAAACTAAAGGACACATCAGTACTATACACTTAATCCGTTCTCCTACTGCAAGATTTTGGTAAGAGCCCACAACTATTACCTCTGCAGCTGTGCAATTTCTTGGCTAATATCATCCAGTTCCTTCACGCCTGTAAATTCTCCTGATCCAACGGAACTTGAACTATCCTGTTAAGAATGAAAGGGTCTATTAAAAAGCCAAGTCATAACACAAGATCTTCCTTCACAAAGGCTGAGGACAAAGGTGGGACACAATCCTCATCATAGGCATTTGCAAAATTCTGTGGGAGACATCAAGTTATGCAACAGCCACGGAGCGTGTCACACAATTCTACCTGCAAGACAGGAGAATTTTCCCTAAGCCCGTTTAACAGATGGGATGGCCGAAATACACAGCAGTTAAAGGACATGCACAATGTCAACAAATAAACTGCAGGCAATGGCAGAATTAAAATTCAAAACCGAAAACCCCAGCTCTGCTATAGTCAATACCAAAGCTTCCAGGGAACTTAATGAATCCAGATTGTAATGTCACTCTTCTTAAGCCCTGCCACAAATCAATGTCAATTTCTGCAATTATACCAATTTTCCTGTAGGTCATTTCTACAGCCATTCAGTTGTAGATCAGGGAAGGTGCAGCGAGTATCCCTTGCCTTTTACACAAGAAAATTGTCATTAGAAGTTATTAAGAAAAATCTCAGCATTTGGTATAAAATTTGTCAGTATTATTAAAAGGATTGCTAGTTCTTTGGAAAAAAAAAAATCACTGCAACTGAGCAAAAACTGCAACACTGAACTCACTGCTGGCATGACAAATCAGGAGAAATCAGGATTCCTACCACTTCTAAATAGCGTTTTAAAAAGAAGAAAGTACAGTTCGCTTGCTTTGCTCCTTTTGACATTGCTGAGGTAACCACAGAAAGTTTGCCTTTATTCGATTTAAAAAAAAAACCAACAAGAACCCAACCAACAAACCACCAACAGATAGCACAGTAAAATGTGACATTTTTTGTGGAAACAGTAGGTGAATATACAGTTTAAATAAGTTAAGTCCTCACTTTTGTGTGAGCATTTCTTTTGTTAATATGTCATTAAGCAATCATAAATAACAACAATCCTGCCTAATTCCTCAAGCTACCAAATCAAGAGCTTCTAATACCACTTTTATCTTTCCAGACCAGACACAGATTTGCTGAGGGACCCGTACTTTATGCTGTACAGGATCATAATAAGGTGTTACCCAATACGATTACGAAACGAGTTCAAATGAGCTGCTGCCTTGGTTAGAACAACACAGTTCATTGTTCCACAGAACAGAAAACTAACTGGCCATGTTCACAGTAGCATACCGTTTATTTCATGTTATATTCACCTAAAACCACAGCAGATGAACAAAAAGATACAATGAACTGAAAATAATGGGAAGCTAAAAGCTCTCGCTCCAAAGTGTGTTTACTGCCCACAGCTTCAGAGAACTGGTACACGAGCAACTCTAACATGCCAACACTGAGCTGCCTGTCAAAGAACTTCCTGACAGACCAGTGCATCTCAAACTGTTCAGGGAAGCAGTATCACCAGGTCAACAGCCAATACTGGTGACTTCACGCTGCTGTGACATTATCATCATGCCAAGAGCCAGTGTCACAGAACACAAGAGCAAAGAGACAGGAGAGGGTGCAGAAATAAAAACTTGTTTCAAAGTCACAAGCAGCGTACACAAACAAATCTGCATTCTTTGGACGTTACAATTACTCACACGACGCATTTCTGTTAGTGCTGAGATCTCAGTTCCTACAGGGGTCAAGTAACCTGACAGAGTCTACAGAAAAAGGATATAGGAAAAACCTTAAAAGGACCAGAGCAACAGCAACAATTAAAATAGGTTTAGAGACTCAAAAGCTTTCTGGTTAGGGAAAGCAAAAAAAGTAAAGGAAAACACTATATAATTTATAGAAAGGATGAATTTATTGACATGACAAAGTATTTATTCATTTAAGTTTCAGAAATACACTAACACATTATCAAGGAAGGGACAAAGCAGCGTTCAGTAAAAGCTTATGTGCTTCAGTAAAACAGTATTAACAGTGATGGATATAGGACTGTGGACCACCATGCTACATGGGATCAACCAACCACCAACTCCCAGAAATTAGAAAGTCATCGCTCTTCATTTAGCCATTTAAAAATTTTACATTTTATTGGAGGAATTTGGTACTGATGAGAGTCAGGGACAGGCTCCTAAACCAGCTTTTAATAGTTCCCTGAAGTAAAAAAACCCACTTCTCTATGACAAAGGAGTATTTTTCACGCTAGATTTTTCTCAGTGTTATTATTCCTTTCTTTATGGAATATTCTACTGCATTTTTCTTTTTTTTTTTTTACTTACTGTCTTGCGTTGTTAAGAATTTATGTCTATTTTCAAATGTTACAGAATTTTGTAAGAGGAGACAAGAAAAAAAAGGCATTTTTTTCCCCAAATAAACACTCAAAGCCTATTACTTTCAAAGCACAAAACCTCAGTATTATGTTCATATAATCAATGACTTACCTGTATGGGAGTGTTCCTCTCTGAGGGAGGGATCATATCTGGGGATAACACTTGTGGAGGATCAATCCCTTTACTGACCTTCTGCTGAATGAGATACATCGCTAGTGCAAACTGATCTTTGCTCAGCTTTCCCATCTGTCTTGTGTCTGCCAAAGCCCTGGTAAAAAATAGATCATACTTATAAACAAGAAAAGCTTATTTCTCCTCTACCAAGAAGCCTGAAATATACATAGACATGTAATCTTCTTTTGATTCCGCCTCATCAGAGCTTGTTTATTCTAGTGAAAGAGTTCCATAAACAGACCGGTATTTTATTAGACATACTGAACTGAATAGAACAGCGTTAGTCTGAGAAAATATTTAGAGCACTAGAACTTCAAAAACAAATCACAATTCACAGACTGACCTACACCCCCCTCCCAGAAAAGTGAAGCAAGTATTTATTTCTCCCATGTTTTTCCATATAGCCCTCACGTTGTAGTATGGCAACAGCACAAGGAAAAGAGGTTGGGGGTTTTGTTTGGGTGTGGGTTTGTGGTTTTTTGTTTGGTTGGTTTTTTTTGTTTGTTTTGGGGTTTATTTTTTTGTTTGTTTTTTTGGTTTGGTTTTTTTTTAGTGTTAGGATCACAATTCTGGCGGGATAATCTGACTTCCCAGATCAGCAAGTTACAAAAACACAGCTACTAGGGAATTCTTACCATATATGGGCTAGGAGATTCTGAGACAGACCTGAATGCATAAAAATGTCCTTTACTTCTTGGCCACTCACAAAACCATCCATGTCTGTGTCTGTTTTTAAGAAAATGTCATCGTATCGCACTTTTTCAGACACTGGTACTACCCAATTCACAGATGGCTGTAAAACAAAGTTTTATATTTCAAAAGAAGATAAACAGTCTTTATCAACACCATGAGTATTTACAACATTATTCAGAGTCGAATGTGCTGAACATCTTGCACAATCAAATCTGACTGGTAAATAGGTATCTTCCCTTTTCCCATGAGTGTTTTGGCTTAACACTGATAAACAGCTATTCGTCAGTCAAAAAGCATTTATTCTTTGGAAATACAGACCCAACTAGGCATACTAAGTCCTCATGCTAATAACACAGCAGCTTTATAAGGCAGATCAATGATTTCTTTGGTAGTGAAGCAGATACATGAATAAAACCTTTCTATGGTTTCATTTTCCACGAAAAGTGAAAATTCCCCCTAAGATTTGCTAGAACCTCATGGTCAATCTGACTAAAATTCACCTGCTCTTCTTCTGTTCTTGCAAGTCCTACCATTCTTGTTTCACTCCCTCCACCCAAATCACCCAACAACGAACACAATTTCAGAAAAGTGCTCACATGAGGCAGAAAAAAAAAAAAAAAAGGCAGTTTTATTTTTTCCTGCAGTTTTCTGGTACAAAAAAAAAAAAAAGAAAAAAGGAAAGAAAAAAAGATTTGTACCTGTGCTTGTTTGATGCTGTGTTTAGGAGACAAACTCCCTGTGCTGTTCAGGCTGTTGACACTACCATGAGACGGGGTAGAACGGAGGCTATCTTTTGGTGGAGGACTTGCGGGTAGAACAGGAACTGCACCAGGAAAGACAGGCGTCTTCTTTCTTTTAGAAGGTGGTATGAGAGAAGGGGGTAATAGTGAAGGAACTGGCTCTTTCTCAAGAGCTCTATAAACCAAATGCATTGCCTGCAAAGGCAAAAAGGTCAGATAACATTAACAATTAGAAGAAAAAGCAACAAGATTCTCCAGTGTCAAGTCATTTATGCATTAGTAAAACAAAGACAGTAAGAATAGAGATGTAAACCAGAGCAGATAATTTTGAATGTAATTCCAAAAAGTTTAATCTCGATGACACAGGCAAGAGGCAGTAGATGGATCTGAGAAAGATCATTTAAGAGCTCCCTGAGAACAATTTATATTAGAACAGTCGACTGTCACAGAAAAAGCTACAAAGCTCTTGAGAAAAATAAGAGCGATTTGCTTTAGCAGACACACTGTGAATTGAGAATTTAAAGCAACCTACCACAGCAAACTCATCCTTGTCCAGGTGACCATCTTTATCAATATCACTGAGGTCCCAGACCTACAGCAATTACAATAAAAACAACGATTTAGAGAACAAGTTACATTTTCTGCTTTTGATGTTAATCATCATCACATTAAACACGCTCCCTAAAGACTCCCACTAGATTTTCGTGATGATCATATTAGTTATACTAGACCCGGCTAAACACTCTGATGAAACAGACTGGATTAGAGTTTTCTGGCAACGGAATCAACACTGGCTCTAACAACTTCTGGATGCAACACAGGCAGGTTTTTCATCTTTTATGTTGCAATTCAGAGTCATCAAGCTGACTAAAAACATCCAGAGGTGGCTTTCAGAATTGTCCAGAGGGTGTGGGCCAGCAGATTGTCCAAATTTGTCTTATAAGAAAGCTAAAATATTTTAGAAAAAAGTCCATACATTTCCAATTTGCATTCCATTCCTAAATTTCTAGTTCTCTTTTTTAGCAAAAAAAATACGTCCACCCCTCAGAATTTTCTATAGGAGAGAATTTAAGCATCTATCAACTTTAGTGCATCATTAGGTCAAGTACAGCCAGCTCAACTTGCAGAAGATTTAGAAGGATACAAACCTGCGTACACTAACACTCAGCCATCAGCGAGCACTGTTTAATCATCCATATGACTTGGAGACAGCACAACAGAGGGGATGGAAAGCTAAGACTGAGGCTCAGTCATCTGAACTCTACTCCCAGCTTTATCACTGGAGCCCTGTCCAAATTTAAGCTAGTTGATTAGTTCTTTGCCCATTTCCTCAGTCCCCTATCTTATCTGCAAACCTTTCTGGAACAGGAAAAAGCTTTCTGAATGTCTATCGTGACAATAACAAGACAAAATACAAAGCCTTCGAAGACCGAGTACTTCACAATAGTCAGGTGCAGCATTAAAACAAGTCATACTTAGATTTTGTAAATAATACAGAGAAAGATGCAGTTCTTCCTAAAGAGATGAAACTATACAATGCAGACACAGCTCTCGCATAGAATGTACTCATTCTCAGTCATATCAATATGCAAAACATTAAAGAACACGCATTTTAAGTGGAAGCAAGAAAATACTTTAAGGTTGCTTCCCTTGCAAATATGCAATGGATGCACTAAACTCAGATCTCAGAACCATTTATAAATATACATGAAAAAAAAACAACTTGACAATTTGACAGCTACAATAAACTCGGATGTTTTAAAGCGTTCACTTGTACAAACAGTGGATAGATTTAATGGTATGTTTAACAACTGGTATTTGGAAAAACGACAAAACAGTGGAATATAAAAGCTATTATGGTTTAGGAGAGCTTTTTCTTGGTTTTAAACAACCAAAATCAAAACTTCCAGCTCTTAAAATGAATACAGAGATAATGAAGCCAATCTACTCCAGGGCCCAAATTACTATTATTATTCTTATTTCTAAGTGGAAGACTTCAGAGCCTACTTACTGTGGCTTTATAGCATGCACTCGATGTAAAATTTCAGCCTGATCTATGTTGATAAGTTACATTTAAATATTTAACATTGTAAGTACAAGAAGCTAAATAGAGAATCGCTAAATCTAAACAGCATACTTACCCTTCCTAGGATATCAAGAGGTAGCTTTGAATTCATCAGTACTGGTTTTACTTTGTCTCCTGAAAGTAAACCATTTACTGGCAAAAGGCTTTCAAAAATACCATCAAACTTTGCTTTTTCTTCCACCTAGTTGGTAAGAAATAGCCTGAATAAGTAAAAAAGTGTGCCTGTGTGAGTGTTGAAAATGAGATCTTGCAAGAAATTAAGACTGGTCAGTAACACATTCATTCTAAATTTCCAAGCTTCCTTGCAAGTGCCACTATACTGTATTTCAATGTAAACCCCACGGAACTAGATTTAGGAGCTTAATTTGAAAGCTAAGGTTAAGATAAGCTAATAGATTTTAACATGCAGCATACAAGCTGTGTTTCTATAGTGCTGTAAAAGAACAATGCCTTCCGATTAAAACCCTGCTGACCAGATTTCAAACAAACTTTGACAAACTCTGTAGAACTAAAAACTGTTCTTCCCAAATAATTTGCTTCCTACTTCAAAGTAAAACATGCAAGTATATAAAAAATCAGCATTAGAAGTTATTTTATTAAATTTCTACCTTTTGAAAAATGTTTGCATTTGAAAATTAACAAAATACAAATATCCCCACGTACGTATCAAAAGTCACTTTCTTCCAATGATATATATTGTATGTATCACAGAATACTAATTAGAACATGTGAACTCAAGCTTTAAATTAATACTTCTGGGTGGATTTGGTGAAATGCTTTGCTGTTCTCAGCGGGGTTCCTTTGTACAAACATGAAAAGTGCCTACTACTAGGATTCTGGAAGAAATCCAGGCAGAAGATTAAAATTCATTGTGCCTTAAAAACATCACACCAGGGGTTGTCAAAGGCTTGTTTAACACTTATTTCAAATATAAAACTGCAGCTCAATATTCTCTATTGTGCACAAGTCTGTCATCAGAAAGGGAGGACTCGAAATGGGAAATACATTTGATACAAAATTCTCTCACTGGGAAAATTACAGGCAAGGAAAATATTTACTTTTAAAGAATGGATGGAATGTGTTGCCTTTTACACTTACCCTAACAGCCCAGTGAGTCTCTGTTGAAGGTGGTGTCATCAGCAGAGGACTGCTAGTGTCATGCTAAAAATCAAAGAATTTTCTATTTATATCTATAGACACATACATATATATAAAAATTCACACACTTCTGTGTCTAATCCTTACTAATTGCTTTAAGAGATGGTTATAGACAGGAAGCTTAACTGCACTGAAAATAGGAAATAAGGCTGCATGTGTACCCATACCCCAGTCATCCTGATTTACACCATTACAACACTCCAGTAAGGACCTCAGGTGCATTAGGTCCCAACGCAGAACTGACACACTAGAGGAGGTTCCATAGCAGCTACTGCAGGCAAAGCTGCACTCGTGCCCTTCACTACACACTCCTGTAGACCTAGCCTCAAGAGATCTTTTATTTCTTTTCTTTTTTCATAAACTTAAGAGTTCAACCACATCAGCTTCCTGAACAAGCTGACCATAGTTAAACCTGCATCGGTTTTGCAGTCCAGGAAGCGGCTGATATGGGAGGGCAGGACTACGCCAGCCATGGCTGCAGTTATCTTCAGGAACAGTTTGACAGCAGCCTGGAGTCTCAGGACCACGACATTTACAAAACAAGATTATTCTAGGGTTCCAACTGAAGCCTTAGTTCTCATGTGACACACACAGACATTTAGGAATATATTACTTACAAATTTAGGAGGTGGCACAGTCAAGTTCAGACTGCTCAAGTTAACATCATGGCCGTTCTGTGCACACGCTACGAGGCGCAACGCGACATAGAAACCCTACAAACAAGAGCGTTTTCTATCAAAAAAAAGCAACCAGTCTAAACCAGTTTCCAATAACCCATTTATGATTTTTACTAACACTAGACATGTGCAACTCAGCGAAGTGTGGAAACAACTATATATGTATAGCCCTGTTCAGTTAACTGCATAGTGACAACTACCCCACTGCTTTTAAAAATGACTCAGGAAAAACTTCACAATAACATGGAACAAAGAGCAGAAAACTTCAAATCTAGATTTAAGAAGGATTCTCCCATAATTAAGGAAATGTCAACAATTTTTCTTAAAATTTAATGTTTTAAACAAAATTCTCCATATCTACAGTAACTTGGTATTTGATATTCCAAGCTAGTTTTAGTAATTCTAGGTATACTTTTTCATGCAGGAAAGACTTCTAAAATAAATCTTAAAATCATAGTTTGTATTTGTGAAAGACTCCACGACTGTATATCTATATATCATGAACACTGATTATTTACAAAATAAGAGACAGAAAGTTAGCTCCAAACGCCTCTAGCAGCCTGAGTTAATATACTTGGATATCAGCAGTGCTAGGAAAAAACCCTCATGTTGTAAACAAAAACTTAAAAAAAAATAGCTAAGGATAACTACTATGGGTAGCAGGGTTTTCTTGGAACCAGGCTAATCCATTGAAGGTAACAAGAGAGGTCTACAGGCACATTTGATTTACCTGTTTATCCAAGTATCCTTTACCTTCCGGGTCAGCCAAGTCCCATATCTGTGGGGATACAAAGTAAAAGCCATTGTGATTTTAAAATAGAACTTAGCTCAACAGTTCATAGTGTATGCCTTCTTGAACTGCTTGGGGCAGCTTTCAAGTCATGACATACGATGTGATTTAATTCTCAAACGTATTACACGAAAGACAGTGAAACTCAGAACAATACTTTGGAGTTACGACCCGTCTGTGGTTAACCCGATGTTCAAAGGACCCGATTTGCATTCCACCAAATTCCTTTTTGCAAACCCCTTCTGCTGAATGCTAGCTGCACTTAAGCAAGTGTACAAATAATTACTGCATTAGAGAATTCCTTCAACTTACTTTTCCAAGGATAATATCAGAGAGACCAGATTTTTTAAGAAACAGCGCAGCTTCACTTGCCCCAACTCTCCCCGTATACGTTGGATCTACCTGAAAGATAAAAATCACGTTCAATTGCAGCACGTCTGTTGTGAAAGCAGAGATAAGAAATGAAACGTCTCTTGTCTCTAGGTCAAAAGGAGTCACACAGGCATGCATTACCACTCAGCAGAGAGAATTTACAGAAGTTTAGCACTGCAATGGGGAAGGAAAGACGGGAAATTCCGGGGAAGAGGAAATTGCACTTTATTTTTAATTTTTTAAAGAACCTACCTGTTTGTAGTAAGTTTCATATAACGGATTCCCAGTAGAAAACTGAAAAACAAGAGAGACATTAAGAAAACAAAGAATGAACCGCAATCACAGACAGCCCGCCTTTAGGGACTGACAGAAAAAAAGCCTATAGCACTTTGTGTATGACTTCTATCAAAGATATAAATCAGTATGTTAATCTGCTGTGTTCCAAACTGGATACTTGAAATTTTAAGTGTGCATAACAGAGATCCCCCAAAACCTGCAGACCAACAGACTACTGTCATCTCTTAAAACTTCTTATTCACCAGCATTCATACTTATACTCACACTTTCAATTAACAACACTATATGGTAATAAGGGTTTGTAGAACAGCTTTGAACTATTTGCCAAGGTATGTCAGATCACAGTTTGGGAACTACTGATATCAAAGGCAGAGTTTTCAGCACAACGCTGACGGGACTACCTCCTGCACTGCATATATACTTATGGAATATTTTCAGCAGACAATTATATACACACACAGACAGAGCCCTGGTATCGAAATACACCTGTGTATATCAGTTTTCAGCATTAGGATCTTAAACGGAAACAGAGTGAAAAAAATTAAATAGAATGAATGGTTAATTAACAGATGTCACAGTTCCCTGACAATGTTGTTTGAGGATTTCAGCTTGGTGTTATCGCTGCAGTACACAAAAGCAGACACACAAAGGTAGGCCCTGCCTTTTCGGAAAACAAGCAGATTCCTCTTCCCTCTTGCTGACGTTCCAAGCAAATGGGAACTGGCAGAAGCCCCAGCACCCATCTTCTCATCTGCCTCCTGCAATTGCCACACAAGTTCTAGCCACGTTATACCTCCACACCATTCTCCTGCCTCAACGCTAAGAGCAAAAACGTTACAATCAAGTCTCAAACAAATCACCCTTAGAGCAGTCAAGGGCCTTAAAAAACAAGCCACAAAGCAACCCAATAAACACAGTCTAATGACAGGAGATGTCAAAACATCCCAAAGCCTGGCTGGGACAACCGCTCTCCACCTACAGGACACAAGTCAGACATCTGATGAATGATTATTTTGCACCAACTCTGCTCACTGGTGTCACCTCCCAAACGCTACCTTCTTCCTTGTCACCCCCATGGATTCCCGGGTGTTCTGCCTACACTGAGGGGAAGTGAAACAGAAACATGACAAAAGGGAAGACCAACGAAGAGCATGAAATTTTATTTTACACAAAGAGAATCTTCCTCTAAGTTTACAATAAACTGGCAAAGCCTTAATTTAAGAAGCTATCCAAAATAACTAAACCCTGTTAATCAAAAGCAAGTGAACATCAAGCTCTTTCAAGATCCATTGTTCTACCTGGCTAGGAAGGTCATGCATTTTCAGAAGAGCTTCCTGAATATCTCACATCTACTCCACTTGCATCCACCAACAAAATAAACCACTGCATTCTCCACCAGTACACTCCAGCAGCTCTTGCTCTTCCAGGAGCTGGACAGGAGTTCAGAAGAATGCTGCGACCATAACTCATAAATCTGACTCATCTTTTTGCTGGCTTGTAAAGGATCAGAATGGATAAGCACCGTGTTCCTGTCCAAAGTAGGAAACGCATCATTCAGAAAAAAGGTGGAACTAGCCTGCCCAACTCTGAATAAAATCTACTGTTTTAGCCATCTAACATCAAATGATGTACCTCTCGTTTATTAGAAAGCTCAGAGAAGCCAGTCAAAAACCAACTACAAGCTCCTTCAACCAATCTGATGAGTATCCTAGAGCACACAGAGACTGGATTCATACCAAGATATGGAGCAAACCGCTCCAGCAGCAGAATTAAATGATCTCACCCCATCACCAGACATTCTTGTCATCCTGATTTGATACTGTCAGCCGTGACATACAGCTGACTTACCTGACAGAGGTGGCAGGAATCCAGGGTAACGTGCCTAAATGCTGTGAAGTTTCTCCTGCAGCAATATATTCATCCAAGTGCTGCCGGAAAGCACCTCCTCACTCGATTCTCTACTTGCAGAATTTTACAAAGATTAAGCCTCTCTGACCGATTTACCTAAATGACTGCCTCTCTGTGATGAAACAGACCAGACAAAATGGGCTCAAGTGATAAAAATAGCCCCGCTGCCTATCTACCTATCTCCACATGTGACTACATCACTGTCATTCAAGAGGATTCTTTAATTCGATGGCATCTGCTGACGAAGAACCTACACAAGACAGTGTCAATGCTGCCAATCGGAGAAAAACATTTCAAAGAGCTGATGAGCGGTCAAAGGATATACCCTGTCATACTGCAGTTCAGTTTACCGACCCTCTGGTTTCTATGCCTACTCCATATTCCCCAAAATGCTGTCTATGACCAACACTTTACACCGTCTCCCAAACACACCCTTCTGAACCCTGGTGCCTTGTTGTTTGGCCTCTAAGTTGATTTCTTGTACAAATTTGAAGTTCAAGCCTTGAGCTTGCCCTCTCGCAGCAGGTCTGGTGCACCACGTTTGTGGCGCGCAGTACACGCACACGGCTACATCTCCATGTCCCTTAATGCAGGTCTGGGAAAAAGGCAGGCGTAAGCTGCTGCTACCGGAACAATTAATAAAGCCAGTTCCTTGCAGCTCTCTTTCCTGAGGTCATCTCAGGGCCACAAGAACTCCAAATCAGATGAACTATTTTCCTTGGTGTCCTCCTGTTTTACAGTTTTCTTTCAGACTCGTCCCATCATATGATGGATGAAAATAGGTACTATGAAAAGGGGAAAAAACCACGATGTCCCACAAAGATGAGAGTCAAAAGAAGGTTGCTGCTGCCCCAGAAAGATTACCTTTGCCCTCACTCTACTTGCTGGGGATCCTGAGTTGTCTCAGAAGACAGCTACAAAGTGATCTGTGCTGTCCCCGTATCTCTAACATAACTCTCCACAACCTCCAGAGACTGTAGGTTGAACATGCCTGGCCCAAGACCACTGATAAGGTGATCAGATATTCAAGAAAACAAAGTTATCAAAGGTAAACAACAAGTGAAACTGGACTTGATCTAACTGCAAGAACTGATTTTACATGCTTGCTCTTCAACTGTTTTTATGCATAGCCAGTTGAAACACAGAGAGTTGAACTGTTAAATAGTTTGTATACTGTTAGACATCTAAATTCTCTTTTATAAAAACATCATAAAACATAACTTCATAGCAAAATGGAACCATAATAAAATTAATTTATGAGAACAAATACGATTAAACAAATACGAACAAAGAAAAACACTTTCATATGCTTGAATTACCCATATTGCTTATAGCTCCTAACATGTTGACATCAATATTCTTATTTTATATCTTTCTGAGTGAACATACTTCAACATTACAGCACGCATAAACTCTCCTATTCCTTTTATTATAACTAGCACGTATCTCTGTAGTAATCATGAAACTGAGGCTATTAAAAGAGGAAGTTTATTCATTTCCAGGGAAGTTCTGTTTACTGCCCTGATTACAGCAAGATTATTCTTGACAGTTGAATACAGAAAAAGAAGTTTTAAAACTAGACTGCTTCCATTGAATTAGTTGGAAAATGATATGGCAAAATAACTGACGGTATTCACAGAATGTGGCCCTGTTTCCCTCAACATAATATGTTATACAAAACAAAATACTGTTGATGCCAGTCTCTCAAATAGCAATTAGAATTTAAACAAAAACACAGAAGCAGGATTTCTAATAAAATAAATATTTGATACGTTTTTATCAATGTACTATAGAAGTTCCACAACAACAAACCCTTTCAAGTCCAGAGTTTATTTTACACATATATTTTGCACCACATTACTTCACTTGAAAACTTTTGGTAACAGTTTGTACGTGCATGGATGTTTTCGAACACGTTCATTTAATTAAACAGATGTTAATCGGGACTCCTACTGCTACTCAAAAGCTAATAAGCAGTGCGCTCTCTTAATAAGATGCACACCAAAGTACGCATTACCCAAGCATCACAGAACTCTGTTGAAAGATAAATTTTCAGAGTATCATGAGTAAAAGTCCATTACTAAAAGGAAATTGATATATAATGTGAGGCAACAGCAGTTTTTCTGAATTCCTGACCGGCCTAGCCACAGCAGAGAAAATAGTTTTAATTTTGAGGTGTTGGGGGGTGGTGGGCAAGTGTTGCTTTTCTTTTGTTTTAAAGGAAATAAGTAAACTGGCTATCTCCACAGCAGTATGGAAAAGAGTAAACAGTGATCACACTGTTCAGGTTGAAATTATTTGGGTGAGAAATGAATCAAAAAACTTGTAACAAAAATCTACACAAGGATCCCAAGCATTAAACCAGAGCTGGAAACAGCCTCTCCCAGAGACACGCCACCCTCCTTGCGTGAGACAAGCTCCAAGGTTCAGGGTCTTCCACTCCCCTGCAGAAGCCTCATTCTCCCGCTGATGGGGGAAAACCTCCCTTTCATTCCTACGTACCGAGCCCTTCGCTGGCGCACCGCGCCTATGGCTACGCTACTCGTGCACCTCCCAAATCTTAAGCACAGTCACGACACCCCAACAGCTGAAGGCGGCGTTAACCCCGCGTTACAAAGAGGGTAAAAAAAAGGGTGCCGCGGCCCAAAACAGAGTCCCGAGCAATGAGCGAGCCCCATCCCTCCGGCAGCCCAGCCCTGACGCCGGACCACCGGACCGCACTAATCCCCGCAGCTCACACCCAGAGCCGCAGCCCGGCGAGGGAAAGCGTTCAGCCGGCCTCGGTGCTGCCCTGCCCCTTCCCCA